CATGGGGAAAAGTTCAAACAGTACTCTCTATGAAAGAGTATAAAATAAAAATTAAACTTGCCTTCTAACCCTGTTCTCAGCCCTCCAAAATCTTTCATAATGGCATCCACTGTTACTTGTTTCTTATGCATCACTCCAGAGATTGTCATCTATCTATCTATCTATCTATCTATCTATCTATCTATCTATCTATCTATCATCATCTTTGATTATAAGTACTATCTTGATATCTATCTATCTATCTATCTATCTATCTATCATATTTGATTATAAGTACTATCTTGGAAATCATTGTATTTCTGTATATAAAGAACTTCCACATTTTAAAAATATAGCTATATGGTACTTGTACAGATATATCAGAATATATTTCACCAGGTTTCAGTTGTTAGATATTTAAGTAGTAATGAAGATATTTTGGTGAGCCACTCAACTAGTTGGTAAGTCAGACTGCACTGTGAATCTGGTGATCAAATTTTTCATGCTGAACTGTCAATAGCTCCCCCTGGGGATGAGGTCAGTCTCCCCACCTCTGCATATATATTTAATTTCACCACAACCTCATGAGGTTATTATGATGCTCACATTACAAAGAAGAAACCTGAGACTTTCAGAGGTTAGGTAAATTGCCCAAGGTCACACAGCTTGGAAGCAGGGACTGGACCTGCCTGACTCCAAAGGCCATACTTTTGCCACCAATGGAGTTTTTGGTATTTCTGCTAGGGATGAAATAAAGAGGATTTATACCGATTGTCCTAGATGATCTTTAAGATTCTTTAAAGAATATGGAAGTGTTCTATCACTGTGCCACCTCCCACCATCTAGTCTCTGCCCTTTTCTGTCTGGTTTTGTGACCCAGGAGACTGACCCCTGAACCAATGAGGCTCCTCTTCCCTGTTACTGCTGCTCAGCTTTGCTGCAAGGAAAGCATCAACATGAGACTGGAGGAGAGAGAGAGAGAGAAGTATTTTTTTTAAAAAAATGTATTTTTATTGATTTCAGAGAGGAAGGGAAAGGGAGAGAGATAGAAACATCAATGATGAGAGGGAACCATTGATGAGCTGCCTCCTGCAAGGCGGGGGGATTAAGCCTGCAACCCCAGAATGTGCCTGTATCCGGACCCCGGACCCTTCAGTCCGTAGGCTGACGCTCTATCCACTGAGCCAAACTGGATAGGGCAAGAAATGTATTTCTTTACCACTCCCTCCCTGCTTTGGCACCATGGTTTTGGGGGTGGTTATGTCCTGTCATTATGATAGTTGTGCTTCGGTGCCCACCCCCCCTGGGTCTACCTGGAAACACAATTTCTGCCTTTTGCCCAAATGCCTTCCCTCTCTTGCTAGTCTCTGGATGCTTCAACACTCTTTGGTTCCTGTAACCATGCCCAAGCTTTTGTAAATAGCCTCTGTATTGAAAGTCTCTGCAGATGAACCATTACAGTTAGAGTTTGTTTCCTGTCATGACCCTGTTATAAATACTATTTTAAGATGTTATTTCTTCTAGGAGGTATTTAAAGGCCTGATACTGAAAGACTCAATGTAATTTATCTCTAATGGCCATTTTTCAGTTAGTTGGGTGAGCTATTTAGAGCTAATCTGTACTTTTTCACTCTCAAATTCTGTCTACTTGGCAGCAGCCTGTTTAGCCAAGTGCTGAGATCCACTCTGCTATTGGTATGTAAGGTTGTGAGTACATGAATTTTTTTGTTTTTATATATGTATACCCACTAACATTGATTTATAATTGTTTTTAATGTTTTTTTTTCATTTAAATTCTATGTTCCAAAATTATAATAGTTACAGGTTACTATATTTGTCCATGTCCATTTGTAACATGAAAATGTATGAAAATATAAAATTCTCTGGTAAAGGTAAATAGATGAACATATTGGAGTTGTTATCAGTTTAAAATAGAATGATATCACCTTAATTGCAATGGTGACTTGACAGACTCTCTTTAGTAATTCTTATAGAGAAGGTCTAGTGGCTTTTGTTTATCTGGGAAAATCTTAATTTTTCCTTAAATTTTTAAAGGATAATTTTGCTGAGTACAATATTCTTGGTTGGCAGATTTGTGGTTTGTTTTTTTTTTCCTTTCAGCACTTTGAGTATGCCATGCTACTCTGTACTAGAATGCTGAGAAATTCACTAATAATCTTATGGAAGCTTCCATGTATGTTAGAAATTGTTTTTCTGTTGCTACTTTAAAGATTCTCTCTTTACCTTTGACTTTGTACAGTTTAACTTTAATGTGTCTCAATGTGATTGTCTTTGGATTTATCCTAGTTGGAATTTTTTAAGCTTCTTGAAACTGTATATTCATTTATTTCCTCATATTTTGGAAGTTTTAGCCATTATTTCTTCAAATAAGCTGTCAATCCCTTTCTTCCTCTTTTTGTCTGTGACTCCCTAATATGTATATTAAATTAGTCCTCTTAATAGTGTCCCATAAGTACCTTATGTTCTCTTTGCTCTTCTTCATTTTTTCCTTTTTACTCCAGTGACTCAATGATTTCTAATGACTTGTCTTCAAGGTTGCTACTCTTTCTTCTGCCTTATGAGGCTTTATGTTGAACTCCTATAGTAAAGATTTCAGTATTATTATTGTACCAGAGGCCCAATGCAAGAAATCTGTGCAAGAGGAGGCCTTCCTTCCCCTGACTGCTGGCACCAGCTTCCCTCTGGCACCCAGGACCCGGGCTTCCCTCATAGCCCTGGCTTTGTCCGAAAGGTCGTCCAGAAGGACATCCGGTCTAATTAGCATATTATGCTTTTATTATTATAGATAATTAAGCTCTGGAGTTTCTGTTTGGTTCCTTTGTTGATATTCTCATTTTGTTCATGCATTGTTTTCCTGATTTCAGTTAGTTGTCTATTTGTGTCCTCATTTAGCTCATTGAGCATCTTTATGACAGTTTAAATTCTTTGTCAGATAGCTCATAGACCTGCGTTTCTTTAGACTCAGTTTCTGGAGTTTTATTTTGATCCCTTGATTGGTCCATGTTTCTGTTTCTTTCTTTGACATAGAATCTTTTGATGGGATTTGGGCATTTGAAAAACCAACCATCTCTCCCAGTCTTTGTATATTGGCTTTGTGCTGGGGAAGACCTTCACCAATCAACTAGCTGTAGGTTCTAGGACATCTCAAACCTTTTCTGATCTATTGCTCCCCCCTGGTGTCTACATGTGGTTCTGCAGGTCTAACATGCTACCTGCCTCTGTTTTTAGTGGCTTCCAAACTCTGGTGTCAGTCCTTTCAGTTGTCCAAATCAGGCAAGATAGAAATCAGTCCTCCAGGTTGCCCCCAAACAAGCTAGAATGGTGGATACATGGTCTACACTTTTGTTTCCATCCTGAGAGGGAGCCCTGGTATGATGGATTTCTTCCTGGCTGCTCAGCACTATACTGCATAAGAGAAGAACAGGGATAGTTATGCCAAATGCTCAGAATTTTGTACCTCTTTTGTTGGAATCCTGTCTTTGTTTTAAAATGACTGGTCTCTAGATTTCTCACAGAGGCCCCTTAAGAAGACTTTTTAGATATTTTTCATAGTCACCCCCCATGACATTTTCTTAAATAAAATCTTTATGAGATATAATTCATATACCATACAATTCACCCATTTAAAGTGTACAAATTAATGGCTTTAGTATATTTACAGAATTGTGCAATCATCACTATCAACTTGAGAACATTTTCATCAATCCCAAAATAAACCCTGTACCCATTAGTTATCACTTCCAGTCCCCTAGCCTCATCTCCCACCTTCCCACCCCCAAGCCTAGATGATCAGTAATCTATTTTCTATAGATCAGCCTTTCTGGGCATTTCATATAAAAGGAATCATATAATATGAAGACCATATGATATTTTAATAGAACAATTATACTATATATTTGCTTATGTACTACATTTATATCTGTACTTTACACATAAACAGATATTTTTACACCCCCCTTCAAAGAATCAATTTTCATCAACCCCACCGAGAATGCATCATCCAAGGTGCCATGTGGTTTCTCCACAGAATTTTCCCAACCAGCTGCAGATAGCAAAACTGTGAGTCATTTGTTGACAGTACATGATTATCAAAATGAGGTGTTTTTGTAATTGGTTATAATTACTACCACCACCCCCAGAAACTGGGTACAAGGGAATGAACTCTTCGTGATCTTAAATAGAAGTGAATGCAATTTTCCTGACTAAGCCCAAATAAGACTTTACAAATGAAAAAACCTGATCCTAAAATCTGTCCTCTTTTACCTTTTACTTGCATCTACCTTTGAATGGACCTACTGAATAGCTTTGAATATCCTGCCTGCTCCGTTGCTATTTTCCCTATTCAGGCCCATATTCTTTTTTTACTTAAACTAATAATCAGTAGTGTCTCCAGTCATACCTTTTCAACCATCCTTCATATAACTGCCAAATCGGGCTTTCTAAAACAAAAATCTGACATTTAATTACCCCAAATAAAAAATTTTCCAATGGTTCCCCCAATACTTATAGGATAAAGCCCAAATTACTTATTGTGGAATACAAGCCCTCAAGGTACAGGGCTTCATTTGCCCCTTGATATCCTATATAATAAAAAAAAAACATGTAAATTGGCCATCCCTCCGCTATGCTCACCAGCCAATCAGGAGTGAGTATGCAAATTAACCCAACAAAGATGGCAGGTTGATTTGCATACACAGGTGCCAGGTGGAGAGCAGAGCGGGAGAGCCAGTGGAGAGTGGAGCGGCTTAGGGAACTTGGCTCCCCAAGCCGCCAGACGGAGAGCAGAGAGGGAGAGCTGGCGGCTTGGAGGACTTGGCAGAGTGGGAGGCCGTATGATGGAGACAGAGCAGGAAAGGAAAACCAAGATCATGGGGAGCACCAGGAATTCTGGGAATAGTAGTTCTGGTGACAGCCCCATGACCAGAAGCAGAAGCCCAGAGCGTGGGAAGCACCAGGAATGCTGGGAATCATAGTTCTGGTGGCAGAAGGATCTTGACCTAGACACCAGAGCAAAGTGAGCCTGGAGCAAGTTACTGTTGAGGTGGGGGATGGATGGAAAGCAAAGGTGAGCGACATGAGTAAAATCAGAGTGTCTAGGAAAAATTAAAGAGAAGATATCCTAAAACTTCCAGGAAATCTCCACCAATGAAGCAAAGAAAAAAAATGCCTTTATTATTCTGTGAGCAACAAACCAAACTGGGTTGGGGGTCTCAGACAATTCGCTCATATGATTGCAAAGACAGACAGAAACTCCCAGATTGGATAGGGCTCCCCTGAGGGCTCCCAGATTGGAGAGGGTGCAGGTCGGGCTGAGGAACCCCCATACCCCCCAGTGCACGAATGTCATGCACCGGGCCTCTAGTATCTTATAACCACTCATCTCACTCATTCTTAAACTTAACCCCATGTCCAGACATAGGGAAATGTTTGCAAAACTTTGAGTATGCCAGGATGCTTCATGTCTACACATTCCTTCCTTTCTGCTCCCTTCTCTCTCTTCTCCCCTTCCTACTCCATCTGGAAAAACTTATCTTTTATATCAGCTCTAATGTCATTTCCTATACAAATCTGTGAATTCTGAGGGGGCAGGAGAAAGACATCTACTAAGAAGGGCTCCTGGTGGCTTACTGGGCTCAAATTTTTATTTTAATATTTTTATTGATTTCAGAGAGGAAGGGAGAAGGAAAGAGAGATAGACACCTCAATGATGAGAGAGAATCATTTATCAGCTGCCTCCTGCATGCCCCACACTGAGGACTGAGCCCAAAACATGAGCCTGGAATCAAATTGTGACCTCCTGATTCATGACCTCGACACTCAACCACAGAGCCACACTAGCTGGGCTCAAATTTAAAAACAACAACAACAAAAAAAACCCACAGGGACCAGCAGCCATTTCTTACAGGGGCCTCTCACACAAACTGCACTTCATGGAGAAGCCTGTGCTGAATTGCTTGCCTGCACTATTTCTGCCATCTCAACTAACCTTTATAAAAGAGTTCCTGGTATCCTATTTCTATAGGACTGAGGCTTTCCCCATCTAATCAGAGCCATGCTGCTCAGGCCATTCAGAGCAGCTCTACTCTGACCAATCAGGAGAGTGCCTTTTGGACCAATCAAACTGGGCAAATTTGGAGTCCTCATTTGCACGAGGATGGGCCAATCAGGGACAAGGAGCAGGGACTCCTGGCCCCAGGACCACATCACAATTGAGCTGTTTAGCACTGAATAAAGTTTCCTTCCTCACCACACCCCAAATTGGGGATTTCTGTTGGTGTTGAGTTGGCACCAACGACCATCCATTAACAAATCCTTTGCTGAAAACTAGACCCCATTGCCTCCATTGTTTCCTGGGTAGAATTTCTTAGTCACTAGAGTATAGTAACAATATACTGTGATAATAAATACGTATAGTTATTATTAAATAAAGGAAAAAATGATGTGTACTCTTTCCTGAGTTCATTAGTAGAAGAGTTTGTTGTTGGTGGTTATTTGTTTAAATACTGCGTCACTGTCTAGGAGAGCTTGTTCATTTCCATGGGCTTCAGTTACCAAATTTCCATAACCAACTTCCAAAGAAGCACCAGTGCTGTGTCTCTTATTGCTTATCAGATGTCCCAGTGGAAACATAAATCAGAGGCAAGGACAATAATCAGAAGTCTATTACAATAATCTAAGTGGGAGGCAGTGAGAATGGAAATTAGCGAACACATCTAAGAGACTTCTGAGATATGAATTGCATCCAGGCCAGATAGGAAGGCTCTTGCCAGTGCTCTGAAATCCCACAATGTGTGTGGATGCCTACTGCCCCTATGGTGAAGGCTGACACAGGACGGAGGAAAGTCCAATATTTTCAGAGCACCACTCCTTCCCTCTTCCCTTCTCTTCTCCAAGTCTGACACACAGGTGGGTAGGAAACCAACAGAGCTGGGGAACAGGAAGTAAAATTCCAGTTTCTCTTCTCCCCATTAGAGCTCTAGATCTAATCTTTGGTCTTGCATTTATATAATATATAAA